CAGAGTTCAGCTTGAGGGGGGATGTTAGACAATAATACTAATAGTACTTCTAGTAGTATTGGTTATGGTAGTGTTTGATTATTAGTCAGTTTCCTACTCCTATTTGTGGTAGCTAGATGTTGTATGTTAGTTAGTTTCCATTCTCTATTCCTAGTTGTGTTAGGAGTCTCTCCTATATATACTCTATCATGTACTCCATAATTCAAGGAGCAATATTATTATTCTAATATTTCAACATGGTATCGGAGCCAAACCCTGGGAGCATACCCTAGTTTGTTCTAGTTTGTCGCGCTTCCGCCACCGTCCCTCAGTTTGTCCAGCGACGGCGGCATCATCATCGGCATCACCATGTAATCTCTTTATTAATTGTTGTGTAATTGCTGAGGCTATAGATCTGCGCCAGGCAGTAAGCCGTCCGTGCCTCAGCCTGAAGTTGCTGTCGTCCCCCCTGGTTTGTTACCTTCGTCGTTGCAGTTGTGCATTGCTGCTGATAGACGATAGCCATAGCCGTGGGAGTTCACCGTCGATCGAGGTCTAGGGGTCGCAAGTTGCAACCCTTACCCATCACTATTTTTTATGTTCGTCCTTCTGGATTCTCCCACATGTGGGCAAGTATTCTGGACAAAAACAACTGGACCAGTCCCTTGTGTCTCTGGTGTAGCTTATTAAGCCATATAAATTGAGGAAGTATTTGTTGGTTGTAGCTATTTGTTGGTCTCAAATTTAGTTCGCAAAATCCAACCAAAAATAGGTTGGCCACTGCAATTGTCTCATGGTTCTATTTATTGGTTTTGGCTTGATTTGTTCGCGCTCCGCGAAAGAAGGTTTTCGCTCTACCGTTCATCAAAATTTGATGATGTTTTTGGCGACATTGTTTTTGGTTGCTATTTGGTATGTTCAAGTGCAACCTGTATGTTCGGCATGTTTGTTTGTGAGGTTGGTCGCATAGTCGCGCCTCAGTTCGACATATATGTTTGTGAGGTTGGTTGCATTGTCGCGCCTCAGTCCGGCAACATGGCCTCCAAGTTTGGGATGCTTGTTAGTCGTCCCCGTGTCACTGCGTGGGAGTCATTCGTCATCAAAATTTATTGTTCGTTTGCAGGGCCGGTCACCTTCGTTTGTTGTTGTCACAGCAGATCAAGTTCAAGTTGTTTTTTTTAGTCCTAGTTTCTTTTTAATTGTCCAAGTTGTGCATTCGTTAACCTCATGCTCGACTTGAAGGGTAGTGTTAAGGAATGTAGTAGGGTTTGTCGTTAACGGGCTCATTCTTGTTGGGCTCGTAATTAAGTCATGGTCTTGTAGCTATTATAAATAGCGGATCTATGTGTAATCAATGAATTCAAGTTTAGATCTAATTATATTTTTACAGTAAATAATAAAAATTTAAAAGATTTGGGAAACAATAAATGCCCAGTCGACAAAAAAATGAAAAATTGAAATAGGGAGTTTGTTGATTTGTTAGAATTTATAAATCTTACGCATATACTTTAATATATTGTCTAACATTACTCTTTTTTATTCCACAATATTAGGGCATGAATTCCAGCACTTGCGCTTTGCGTATTGAATATAGTCAATACACCTTCCGCTGTGGTCCCCAATGCCCAAACGCGGGAAATACATTTCAAGAACAGTTGGACGAAATTCCGTCCAGGTTCAATGAATCAAGCCCATGAACCATATTTGATATGGCATTAGTTTCAAAATTTAGATATCCAATCCTAACTTTTAGCTTAACATTTTTTTATATCGTTTAAAACTTATTTAAAACACTAATTTTATTTCCAAATAAACATTCTACTCCCTTCGTCCAAACATTGCATGTTTTTTTGTTCGTCCCAAAATAATTTGCTAGTTTCTTATTATAGTAAACTTTTAAGGGTAAAATATCTAAATTATCCCAAAAATAAGCCAATCCTCTCCACTATGTCTTCTCATTCATCGTCACCCCCTAAAAAAGTAAGGGCATTTTTAGAAAATCAACAATATTTCTTCATTTCCTCAAATATCCCCAAATTCAAAACAAACAATATAAAATGGGACGGAGTGAGTATATTATAACAATTTTATTAGAATCATTACTCCAAAAATTGTACTCTAATTTGTATTCTAAAAGCATGCACAAACATTTTGTACTAGTGTGATGGTTTATAATGACACAAAATGTCAGTACAATTTTTTTATTAAACTATCTAGACGAACCGTAAATATGCTAGTGGATCTCTTTAAAATACAGTTCTTGGTGTATCATGGTTGATTACTTGATTTTATTACCACAAGAACACAACAAAACATGAAAATAAAATAACAAGAGGTAATCAAATATAGATTTATTTAATAAGAAACCTCTTTAGATAAGAGTAAAAAAGTATGGAGTATAAAAATACAAAAAATAGGAATCTCAAGTCTTTTAAGACTAAAATATGAGTACAATGAGAGTGTGGTGTAAGAGTACATGTTGAAAATGTGATGGAAAATGATGACATTGTAATGTTATCAGTGTGATAAGTCAACTGTCGGTGAACTGTGACGACATTCTGGTGGCCGGCGGCGACAGATGACAATGTGGCAGTAATAGTGTGACAGTTATAATGTAAGAATGTGGTCAAACTTCTCCCTTATTTGTTACTCCCTTATTTATTACTCTCTCTGTCCAAATTAAATTGACAGCTTATTATTCCATGGTCAAATTTCATTCATTTTCTTTCTCTATTTTTGTTAGTCATTTGATAAAATAATATAGTCATGTCACTAATATTCTATGGTCAAACTTCATTCACTTTCTTTCTCTATTTTTGTTAGTTATTTGATAAAATAATATAGTAATGTCATCATTACTTTTGCAGATCTTTTGATGTATTTTTTAAATATGTAATTTTAATTTTTTAATTATACACTACTTTTTATATAAAATAATTTGAAAATAACTACAGTCAAACATCGTAAATTGAAATAGACAATTTAAATTTGAATGGAGGGAGTAACTTTTAATAAAAATCTCAATTAAATAATTTTTGTTTTTTAGATTTGGTGTAAAATTAAATTATGAAAACACAAGAAGAAGTAGAGTGTACTCCATATTACTCTGTGCTCCCTCTATTATGAGATAAATTTTATATTTTTGTTTTTAGTTGTTTCAAAAAAAATTTTACACAATAGATTTCTTTTTAAGAAATGGAATTCATAGTTGAGATTTTTCTACCCTCTTAATAGTTTTTAATTAAACATTTTTTATTTTTCAATATTTCATGAGAAATTACGTGAAATCAAATTGTGACAAAGAGTACTCCATATTTAATTTTGGAGGAAGAAAGTATTATACAACGGTGGGGTTCTAGTGCCACCGGAGAACGGTGCCACTAGTGGTGCCACT